GAATGTGTGTAATGGTGTGAGAGTGCATCCATGCAAAACAGTGCATTACTCTCAGTGGAACAGTGGAAATACTGATAATACAGATAAACTAAACTAATCAATAATTTCTTCATGAGCTCTTGGTGACCACCAGAGGATACAAGCATAGGCCCAGGAAAGTACAGCATGCTTGCTGTCATCCTGCAGCGTAAACTTGGTTTTGATTTTCCCCCGTGGGTTCATGTACTGATGCGGAGTGACAGTCACCAACATATAACACATCAGAGCTTCTTTGGTGTGGAGTAAGTGAACCAAACTGCAGGTGGGAAAGCTTTCTTAACTACTGCATGAATTTACTATATTGCACATTTAGCCCTCCAGCTTATTTCCATGACTTCATATTATTTCAAAATCATTGCAAAACCCAGAGTGTTACATGCTGTTAAGTCAAAGAATAGCGCTGAGGTTTTCATCAGACAGCGTTCAGTCGTTGAGTGATGCTGTCACCCGCTTGGCATTTGAAATCACTGATTACTCCGGTGGAAGCTACAATTGAATGGTAAAGTTGCGATTTGTTTATATAAACAACAATGTGTTTTTGTGTGTGAGTGATTGCTCGGTGCTCTCTGCTCAGCTGCCTGGGGAGCCCGCCTGTTTTTCTCTTCCCTCTCATTAAGCTTTATCTATTTTGCCTCCTCTCCCAACTCTGCACCAATGCTGCCAAACTTCCCAATGTCACTCTGTGACAGTGGAGGGGACATTGACGGTGGCAGTCTGTCTGTCGTGCTGACTGAATAGTGTGCATGCAAATACAGCACTGCTTCCCTTCTCAACATAATTCTCTCTTTAGACTTCTCCTCTGCTTTTCTTTTTATATGCCTCTCTCAATTCAGTTTATGATTCTCTATTGTCATGAATGTAACAAGAATAGTCAAACTACATCCAGTCCAGCAAAAATAATAGAACATACATAAACTCCTGTCCCATTATTGTGTGTGTGATGCATATTCATCTCCCATTACCTCTCTATGTCACTCTGTCTCATTCATACATTCACAGCTAGCAGCTTGTTTCTTGCTCTCAGTTCTTGGTAACACCCTTCAAGCATTAATGGTGGTCTATTGCCATGTCCCTTCAGTAGCAGCCTAATGGTGGTTTCACATTTCTCTTGGGGCCATTTCGTACAAAGGGCCAGTACCTTTACAGTTTGGCCCTGGGGGATATCATGCAGACACTGCAATAACCTCAAAGCACTTTGGGACCTGTGAACCTGAGTTGTGAGCCTCAATAAGGAGCACATCTGGAAGGTGAGTCTGAGGACAGTGGCTACATATGGTACATGTGCACACTGAAAAATATGTATCTCTTGTGGCACCCCAGGGGACTTACAGGCAAGATTCACAATAAAATAGGAGACCCGGAGACAGTTTGCGTGAAACAAAAGTTTTCCTCAGTAAATTTAGGGGGGGAATTTAGGGGAAAGGTGAGGGCGTCAAACTCGAAATGAAGATTCCTCCCGCCCGTCTGGGGTCTTTTGTCCTTTTATCCCTCTTTCTAGGAGGTGTTGTGCCAGTGTCCTGCAGAGTCGAGCAGAGAAGCAGCAAAGTGTGTTTTCTTTTTGTGAATACCTTTGTGGTAAGAAGATTGAATTGCAACTAGGCAGAGAATTTCTGATTTCGATAAAGTACAGCCATAGATACCAGTATGTGTATATATGTGTCAGGATATCTGATAATATAAAAACATTTCCAGTTTGTTGTAAACAGTCAATTTCAACTACAGCTAACAAAAGCTGAAACATTTAGCCAGTTAATCAAAACCTTAGATAAACAAAAAATAATTCACAATATTTTAACGGTTTAATCTTTTAAATTATTTATCTAGAAAAAAATGTCAAATATTCACTGGGATCAACTCTTTCAGTGACTGTACTGTACTATAAATAAATAAGTTATGTTCCTTAGTTGCAGCCCTATTTGAACATATTAAAGGTGGTGTTTATATGTGGCATCTCATGAATCCAGTGCTTGAATAGCCTGAGTATTTCTGATGTGTTACTGTCCATAATTATGAAGCCAAGTCTTGTTGCTGGAGCTGACAACAGGAAGTTTGATGTTATATACAGCGGAAAAGTTTAATGATTTACTGTAAATACAATTTGACAAGATCACTGCATTTTCTCTGTGAACCCTTCCATTACACTAATTGACATTATTACATGTTTTCATCCCACAGTCGCAGGTTACCAGTGGACACTCAGGGATTAAGCCCTTGTGTGAGATATGTGCATGTATGCATGCATGAGAGTGTGCATGCATTTCGTGCTTAAATAGTATATAGTGTGTAAGTGAATCACATATAATAGTGCTTGCCAGGGTGTAGTTAACACGATCAGAGCCATTTTATAAATCAGGGCAGCAGCTCTCACTGTTAAATTAGAGTCCTGTCTGTCCTGGGGCGAGACAAGACTGTGAGAGATTGTGTTTGGAGACCGCACACTTTCTTTTGTGTCTGTGTGGTAGGGATTTGGAGAAGAGAAATTTGGGGTGTTTTTGCTGTGTCAAGTGTGTACTAGATTGTACTGTGTAAATGAATTTATGAATTTATTATTCTTATTTATGGAGTAAATCTGTAGTAAGTAAGGCATCGTGCAAACTATGAATGCATTTGGAATTTATACAATCCTTCATTTACAATACTAAATTATTTTCCATTATGGCAATGAATTATCTTCTACGTAAAACCCAAAGCACACGCCATCACCTTTACTTTCTTTATAACAATGAAAAGCACCATTTTCTTCAGACTCGTCCTGGGTCCTCTGCCTTGACCTCTTCTCACCTCACGCTATGGGCCATAGCACCTTTTCTTCTACTGTCTTGTAGCTATCACAATGGTGGAGGAGAAACATATTGTTGAGGTCGAAATATACCTGGACCTCTAACCCAGAGATAATATCAAAAAAAGACATTTCCTGGGGAGCCACACTATAGCTGGATAGGCTGGCTCTTCACACTGCAGATTCGCTTTAAATGTTTATATTATTCTTTATGTGGCAGGGCTAGTTTTGGACTAAAGGCAGTGGAAGAACAAGAGAGAGAGATATAACACAGGACCAACACTTTGTTGTACTGTTAAATTAATCAGCTAGTTTTCCACAGTTTTCTCATGAACCACCTTCAGCTACTTGAATGAACCTGGCACATGTATTTCATGATTGTCTTGCTATTTGTATTCTAAAGGTCGAGATGCAGATAAAAACGTCAAAACATTTTCTATATTATTGGATAATAGAGGCATAAAAGTAACATGTACAACCAAAGGTACTGTTGTCTTGTCTTGAACCGCACAAGAACTGAAAAAAACATATGAACCAGTAGAAAACATCTGGACTCTGTGATTCCTCTGTGATGCATTTGTGAAACAATTTGGACAGAGCCTTCTCAAAGATGCCTTAGACTGTTTAGACACCACTAGATTATCCCTGTTGCCTAAGGAAACCACACAGGTAATAGGACTTAATAACTTAACTTCAGTGCCTTGTTGCTCTTTATTTTAACATGTGTAATCATAATGTGAGCTAAATGAAGTAAATGGGTTACTTACTTTTTGCTTTGATCTGGAAAGGCAGAAGAAATGTTTCTTCATTGTTTCATGGCACATATTGGCTGTAAATTTCATTTTATCTATTACATACCATGGGAACATTTTGTCATTTTGTTTATCTGAATCCTTTTTATGGTTTCCATAAGTGACAGGGATCACCCACTATTGTCTGTACTACAGTGTTTGCCTTACTTTGCACACTGAAGAAAAGTTTTGTACACCTCTCCATAAGTGAGGCGATTTCACTTCCTGTTGGTTCCTTTTAGAGGATTGTGTAGCCTTGCTTGTATTTTATTTTCCAGAAGCATTCATAACTGACTATTTATTTAAGAAACAAATCTATGACAGAGTATTGTAGAGTATTGCATAAGATTATAGATGTAATAAATTTTCTGAAATAGCCCGTCACCAACAGGCCATCTAATCTATTCTGGCTTGTTTACATTCTCTAAAAAAGTCTAAAATATCCTTAGGCAAACTCTGTGTGATACTCCTTCTTCTCCTCACCTCCCCTCCTCTTCATTTGGTGAAGCAGAATCCATCTTTTTCTGGCAGGTTGGGAACTTTTTCGTTGTTTGCCTGTGTGCAATCGATCAACATGCATAATTCATAGTTAGTGGGTTAAGAGCAGCTCGGCTCCTCTCTCACTGGGCCCTTTGATTTTCGTCTCTCTATCTGAACCCCTCAGGGAGAGCTACAGCCCTGCTGCTAAATCACCTCGCACACACCCTCATGTGTGGGCGCACGCATCATGCCAATGCACACATGCATGGTTGCTCTGAAAAAGAGGTGGAAGAGCTGATTGAAGCTCTTTGAAGCTTTAAACATCAGCCCATGCAGCTCAAGTGTGTCTCTTTCCATAGAGTTGTGTATTAGTATAATTAAGCATTCTTATTGTCTGACCCCTCTCTGGAGACTTTTTATGTCTCACATCCAAAGTATGATTCCCTACATTAAGCTTTAAGGCTGCACCTTCTTATCACCACAGCAGTAGTGGAAATGTATTCAAGAAGATACATTTGGTCACAATAGGTTCTCAGCCATGAGAAATTCAGCACACAATGGAGACAAATCTACCTACCCAAAACCCCAGTTATTACAGAGTCAGTTTCGGTGTTAAGGCAACAGACCAGTACACCTAGTGTGTCTCTGCCTTAAATGGAAACGTGGTTCCTTCCAGTGATTTCAGTGTTGTAGAATTTAGTCCACATTGTTTCTGTAAAAGTTGCACGGCAGCTTTGTCATTGACTAGACATTGAGTCATATTTGTACTCTGGACTGCAATCATTAAATGTACATATACTTATGCACAGTACAAACATGGTAGCAGTCTGCTTTGCGCCTGCGAGAAACTTTCAGCCATCTTTCTTTCAAGTTTGTTTTTCCTTCATCCCAATATCCATCCACCCATCCAGTGGTCCCTTGGGCAGTGGACAAGGTGAAAGGCAGCAGAGGAGGCTGGGACAAGAAGATAACGAGACAGCAGCTGACAGAAGGAGCGGCAGAGAAGGGACGGAGGATGAAGATTTAGAGGCAGGTTGGGTATGAAGAATGATTACAGAAAGAGAGATAGACTGGTACACAGATAAACCAGCAGAAGGACGTGGTTACGCTCTGGGTAATTTGCAGGGAGGTCAAAAGATGCGAGGTGGGCATAGAATAGAGTTTATCTAAACAAGTACCTGTTCTAATAAAGTAAACCTGTTGCAATTAATCAATTAGCTGCAGAGATCCTGTTGGCTAAGATCTACTGGTGTGACCAATGCTTGCCTGCAAAGCAAACTGAATATTGTGTAAGGTGCAACGTCTGATTATTTTAGCTATGAATTACTTTAGCATTTTGTGGAGGGATTAATCAATTAATCGTTGAGTCTGTATGCCGTAGCCATGTACCCTACCTTGTAGCCTGACACGCACCTGCCCACAAATGTAACTGCATGTCGCAGCAACACAGACCACAAAAACTGTGACTGGTCATCTTGGTAGCATCACTTTTCTAGCTTTTCCTTCTTTTGCCTCACCCTGTTCAAGTGGTCATACATGATACATACCATCTCCTTCAACGCCTTCTCTCGATTTTAGTTTTTTTACTAAAAGTAACTGCTGTTCAACATTGATCAGCTCCATCTCCAGCGTGATCTTCTCAGTTTTAGTTCCCATCCTGTCTGTCTGTCTGTCCACATACTGGTTCTTGTCTGTCTGTCCTGAATCATTAGTAGAATAAGTATCCAAAGCTAGAACTAAAAAAAAATAAATTTAGAATAAATCAAATCATCTTTACTACATTGTTTGTGGTAGTCTACATCAGTGAAGAAGAAGAAATTCAGCACAGTGGAACATGGAAACCCCACTGCCAACAAGTGTTTTGCCTCTTTTTATTTTTACCATGGTCATGTTCTTTCCTTAACCAAACATTTAAAGGAGCCCTGTGGAGTTTTCTTGTAAACAAACAAAGTTATGTTTGCATTCAGTGTTGCTCACCAAAGTGCCTTATGTGTGTCCTTGAGATCAAACAAATGTGTTGAGTTCATTTCCTTTCTAGAATTGTCCAAGAACAAGCATCTGTCTGGCAAAAGGATTGGGCCTATCTTCTGTTAAGATATACTGTAACAAACAGATAGTATTCTGGATTTAACCATTATAAAGGAATTAAGCAATGATGACTTTGGTGTTTTAAATGGTTAAAGTCACACAGTAACACAAACTAAGTAATCGAAGCATCTGTAGACCAGAGAGGTAAAATTTATAGTTTTGTCGAGGGAGTCTGGTGGCTTTGATGAGAGAGATATAACAATCTGAACCTGTGGCCTAATGCAAGTATTTTAGTGGACGTACTTGGATTACATTGCAGCCCTGTCTCGCTGCTGCTGACTGCAGAGCACTGGCTCAATACTGGACCTATTTTTAAAAAATGCTTTCCCAATTAGTCACATAGACACAAAATCATGGGGGAAAAGGGGTCTAGGTCGAAAAATATCGAAGTTACCCTTTAAGATGCAAAAGTGACATTTAAAGATGCATCAGGCAACTTTGCAAATATTTGGGTCGTGAAATCACAAAATTTCACACACCACACTCATGTCCTTTTAATTCTCTCCCTCCCTCTCTCTTTTCTCTCCCACCCCCCATCCCTCCCCCCCTCCCCATCTCCCCTATCTCTGTCTGTCTTTCTAAATGTCACTCAGCCCTGTTTCCTGTAGTAGTGTTCCACTCCCACCGCTTAGAGGAGCTAATAGCTGGCTTGACAAAACTTGTTCAATACACAGCACAATTACTGCCTGGCCCACCATGCAATCAGACCCCCCTCTTGTTTTCTACGTCGCTCTCTCTCTTGTCCTGTCACTATCCAACTATCGTTTCTCAACCCTCTCTAGATGTATCGTCCCTCAGCTCAGCTGCATTTTACATGCATCTCTCATCATTTTCCCGTTTACCTCCATCGTCCCTCATCAGTCTCCTAGCTCCCGTCTTTTCCTTTCCAGCCCTGAAGTATGGAGTTCCCCATTTCACCCTTTCACCCTTTCCTCTCTCATCTCTTGCCACTTGGCTCATATGAAGGTGTCAGGTCAGTAGTAACAAATGAGAGACTGAACTGAGTCAGCGTGTCATTGTGTTTGTGTGTGAATGCTTTGGTGTGAACGTGAAGCAAATGAATAATTTTGTGTTTTTGTGCAAATTGAAGCAAGCTGGCACACATGCTGGTTGAGGGTGTGTGTGTGTGTGTGTGTGTGTGAGGGACTGAGGTAGTCGGTCAGTCAATATCCTCAATCAATACCATAATAACTCCTTCTCCCTGTGGACGCTCAAAGCCTCATTCAGAAACAAGTTGACCTATTTGTTCTGTTTTTCATCACCTGTCAACTGTCAACAAGTCCCACAATTAATGGTATCTCTGCCAGATGGAGCTACATGAGACTAACATGACAAACAGAGTCTGTAAATGTGGGAAATATGTGAGTGCGTGTGTGTGTGTGTGTGTGTGTGTGTGTGTGTGTGTGTGTGTGTGTGTGTGTGTGTGTGTGTGTGTGTGTGTTTCATGTTCATATATCCCAGGAAGAACCCATGGGGCTTGTGTCACTGTGGAGACAAAAATTGAAGACCCCATTAGTAGAGACTGTTTTTTTGAGGGTTGACGTGCAAGAGCGTAAATTTCATCTAACATGTTGGGAGGGACACTAAACGTAAAATTGAGAATTCTCAAGATTGTACTTGTATAGGATACGTGTACACAGAAGAAAGCCTTATTACTATTATTAGTGTAGCATGGAGACTGTGATGTTACCAAATTGCCATGACTTTTTGTACTTAATCTCTTTCTTTTTATTTGGCCAACAACACACAGCAAAGGTTGTTTAAATATGACTTAGGTTCATAGGTTTACCATCTGTCATATTATCCTAATTATCTGGCATCTTCCACATAGTGCTTTAGATTTCCTCTGGGACAGAGGACATCTCTTACTTAGCTGTTCAACTGCAGCAAGCCAATTGATCATCATACTGAGTAAAACCCAACACAACGGTAGTTCCACTATATTAGCCTAACATCAGTTCACACATAGGATTATCACTGTGTTAGTTGTAGTAAGAGATGCACCAATTGCATTTTTCCTGGCTGATTCGAATTACAGAGTATAGAAAGGTCTGACCTGCTGATTCCGAATATTTCTTTCTAACAACTATAACTGACAGCATACACAAATATCTTTGTACCAGCATAAACGTTGGCTATTCGCACTGGGGTCCATTCAATTGTATGACCATAATGAAACATTGATTATTAGATAACATTCGCATTTTCACTGGAGGGAGCTGTTTTGTAGCTAAAAATAAAATCCAACTAAATTTTAAAATGTATTTTAATTGAAAATATTTGAAAGAATACATTACCCTATTTCTAGTATTTTATATCTGATCTCACCATTTTAATTCTACTTCTCCACCTTATTTTAGTGCTTACTCGCGAACTACAGTAATCTGCTCACCTAGCTTTTCACTCCAGAGACACAAGCACACACTACACCTGTCTGTCTCTCTCTGCCTGTATCTGTCCACTCTGACTTTATTTGTCAGCAGTTTTATGAAAGACGTGTGTATATTTGTGCGTATTCCTTCCAGAGATGAACGACCTCAAACTTGTGTTTTGTCTCCATTCCACTGCACTGCTGTAGAGACTGCTTTTGTACAGATGACCCGCCCTCCTTAATTACATTGTTAATGACTCCTCTTCGTTAATGATGTTTGCCGTCTCTTGAGCAAAGAAATTAGCCAAAGAGAATTTGTGAGGCTGAGGGAGGGCAAAGGAAGGGAGGGAAGGTTAGGCAGAGGAGGAGAGGGTAACAGAGAGAGACTGAAGAGGCTGAGTGGAGGATAAAGAATAAATGAAGGTTGGAGGGCTATTGAGAAGAACAATGGAGACAATGTTAAAAAATAAATCAACTAAAATGAGAGTATAAAGGTGCCTATATTTGTGGTAGAAAAATCATCTCCACTGAATTAAAAATCACCCCTAATATTTTTAGCTGCAACATTTCAAGCATCAGGTCTGGATATAGATTTTCTCTTTTTAGATGTCTCTTTTTCTGCCTCTTCTTCCTCCTCTTCACTATTATTCACTGAGCACATTTACACGCTAATCTACTTCTTCTTCTACTACTGAGAGTTACATGGTTATAAAGCACAAATTAACCACAAATGTGAAAATAATATTAATATAGATGGTATGCAACCCCCCCGCCCAGCTGGACTGAGCGGCAAAACATCCGTTAACCATGGCTGGAAACAGTGAAACGGAGTAAAACAAGCGACCATTGGCTAAAATTAAAGGCAGTTGGACTCGACAGTGATCCTTACTGCTCACCAAATAATCAGTGGTCCAGCTCTTCCCCATTTTAGTGTGTTGTTTGTGTTTTCCCTGATTCAAGCTAACGCTGCCACTCAGTGACCATAACTATCCTACCCGCATACCCTCTATAGGGTAGTTTCCATATCCGGACACCATACAAAATTTACTCATCTTCTTTTGCAAGATTTGTTTTCTTCAAAATATTAAATCTGGCCAGTATCACAGTTGTTTCACAACTCTTTCAAGAAATCAAGTTGAACTAACAGGTTTTCACACCAAAACCACAAGTTCGATATCACGCAGAGGAAAAAATAACTTATTTCCAGTGAGGAAAGAGGCTGTGCTCTGCACCCATTTTTGACTAAAAGTTCAACTAAATTATGGGCGGGAGGGGGGGGTGTTCAAACCAGCTAGCTTACTTTGCTGTGAAATGCAACTGTATTATTTTACTTTGACTTTTTCCCTTTTATAGAGAAGAGCAAAGCAGAAGAGCAATAAAAGGAAATATGACAGTTGAGCGGGACAATGGGGGAAAAAAAGAAAGCTTTATAGTGAAAGGACAGGATGAGAAGAGAGATGAAACAAAAAATGTGAAGTTCAGCAAAGGATGCTCGCTGAGGGGGGAAAAAATTCAGTGGAACATAAAGCAAGGATTTCCCCTGAGGATTACTGGCAGCTTAGAGAGAAAG